TTGCGCATGGAAGATACTGTGGATACAATTTCCACCATCTTCTTCACATTGTACAATCTGATTCATTTGATAACTCTCTATCACTGCTGCGGTTAACCTATCATTCATTGGAAATTATTTTATTCTTTATTCGGTGTTTGGCGCGATGACCCAAGGATGAAGACTTTTTTCACGTCCTAAATGGTTCAAATAGGTAGAATATTATGTTAATGAATCAATAATTAGTTAAGTTGGATAAAATAAAAAATTCAAAAATGAAAAATAAGTAAATACAATTAAAGTAAATAGCTTTATATTATCTTAAATTCATTTAAGTAAGTTGGAAATAAATGTTTTAGTTTTTTTTCTTTTGTAAATATAACTTTTTTGGTAAATTGGTCTAATAATATTATTTATTTTTATTACTATGTATTATTATTTTAGGTGCTACACGCTATTATGTTGAAAAAAATTATTAAATTAAATAAGATGTAATTTTATAAAAAAAATATAATATTTTTTTATTTATAGGCATTATACATCATTAGAGTTAACAAATATTTTTTTAGTAATATATACTATTTATCGCAGATATAGTATTTGAATTAATTAATAAGAATTATTAGCTTAGTAATTTTTTAAAATTAACATATTAGTTATGTCAAAATATGGTTTAACAAATATATATATTTTCTGTATTATTAGAATATTTATAATCAAATTATTTTAAATAATATTTTTTATCAATCAATGTTCTAATTAATTTAAATATATAATATATTTAAAATGAATAATATTAATCATCATAAAAAAAATATTCTATCCTATATTATATTTTAATAAAAAAAATTATAAATACTGCCATGGGGTAGCTCGACTACGAATAACTGTTATAGTTAAGGTCTAGTGTTAATTAGACCTTTGTCGATGTAGTGCTTAATTGTTTTAGTTAATTAAGAACTTATTTTGTAAATCTTTTAGGAGTTTACTAATTCAATAAAAGTTACTGAATTCAAGCTTTGGGTTAACACACTATAAGATAGTTTTTCTCTTTTATTATTACTATTTTGGGTAACAATATAACATTTTTTCAAATGTATCATAATAAGATTAATGTCCGGTAGATTAATATAAAGAGTAAAAGTCCTTATTTTGTAAACTTCATTCTTAGATAATTAAAAGCTTTCAAGCATGCATGTAATTTGCATCCATTTCCAAACAAGTTCTACAGTAATTTTGATTAACATAAATATTAATCTATATATAAAACAAATCAAAGAGGTCATGATCTTTAATCATACAAAAGAAATGATTACACAAGAAGAAAAAAGAAAGCAAATTAACTCTGGTGTTATAATAGGGTTAGGTTTGTGTCATGTCCTTTGAACCTTGAATGAACTTATAATTATCATTTTCATTCAACGATCATCATCATTTATTATATCCTTGTGTGTACTAAGAGAATATATTTAATGAGAGGATTATATATATATATATATATATATGCATAAATAGTTAAAATTTAACCTGTTTAATTGTTATGTTAGTGTTTTAATTTAACCTTTTCACGTTACACGTATATTCAAAAGATTATTAAAACGAATAAAATGTGTAAACCATTTGGCAAATTTATGATAGGGAAACATTTTGGCAGTACTTGAAATAAAAGTTTGAGGTTTGGTAAGAATTTTTCATTTTCACGATAGGTTTCACACGTGTTGAAAAATGATCGTCATATATTAAGTGAAATAACATGAGGTTATGATTGGCTATTTCTTTTCTTGTCTTCCGTTCACACTCGTGCTTTCACTGCGCTTGTCATCTTCTCAAGTTTATTTTTTTAAAATCTCTATGGGTTGGTCGGGAGCAAAATTTTGAAAGGAGAGAGGAAAAAAAAAGGTATCTTTTATTTTAAACAAAAAATATATAATTTTATGATAATAAAAAAGTATTGTAATAAATGTATGTTATATCTCGTTTATTTTAAAAAATAAAAAATCTTTTTTTTTTCATTTCCTTTTTTTTTTTTCTAAAAACTTATAATTTGTTTTATTTGTTTTAATAATTAGTGTTTTTTTTTATCACGTTATGATATAATTTATAATTTTTTTAAAAGATAACCTATATGTATATATTGGTTTACTGTATACAAGTGTTTTTAAAATATCATTTTATTTACTTTTTTAACTAATATTTTAATAAAAATATTTTATAACTGCCTCAATATGTGAATGAATGAATATAATGCTAACCTTTAGAAGCAAATTTTATAAACTTTTGTTATATTTTTTCACATTTTAAATATTTTTTATCATTTTAAACATTAAGTATTAAATATATATGTATATATACATTTAATTAAAATTATAAATAATATTTAATAAATTTGTATTAATTAAATTTTTTATAATTATAAAAGTTAAAAAAAAAAAAAACTCTATATTGTAGAACTATAAAGAAAAATAAACAATGCCAAGTACAAAAGGCGTAGACATTAACTACGTGGCTTAATCGAAAACCTATTCATTGCCGAGTTCTATTCAATTTTATGCACATGTGTCTCTCTCGATCGACGAAATCGGAAAGCCATGATGGAACTTGAATTAGTTACTATTTTTCAAACCATTTTTATAATGTATATTTTTTTTTCCAATTAATGATATAATATATTATTAATTTTGATTTAAATATTTTTATTTTATTTTATTTGTATATTACTTAAAAATTTTACTAATCATGAAAAAAAAACAGTTGTAAAACTTATGTGATTTTTAATTTCTAAAATGCATCAATCCCTGTGCTAGCTAAGTTGGGCAGTGGGCACCACTAAAATAATAGAGAAAAAGAAGTACATAAGAATATATTGTACGAAATTATAAAGAACAAATTTTTAAAAATAAAATATTATAAAATTTAAAATATTAATAATATTAAATACTATAATTTTTAATAAAAATATTAGTTTTAACGTTTTAGCGTATGCCTTTAGATTTATATTAAAAAATGGTTATATTATAATTAGAAAAATCTGTTATCCCACCGAATACGAGGTGATACACTGCTGACCAGCACAAGCACTATTCGGGGCCACTGCCACTACTACTACTATTATTATTATTATTATTATTATTATGACATAACTAGTTTATGGAATTCTGCATCATCGTCTGGCAACTACAAATCAAGTTGATTTAACTTTATAATTTTTCATAAAATTATTGGTTTAATTAAAGTAATATTGCAATTAATATTCATCTTCGAATGATTCTGCTAATGTCCTCGATAAAATCAAACTAATGATGATATATTTTATTTCAATAAATTTTCTATTCTTAATTTCAGTTATTATAAGTAACATTTTATTTACAAGGCATCCAACGCAGTGTTGTGTTCATGATGCACATGATAATAATACTTACTCTCTCTCTCTCTATATATATATATATATATGATATTATTTTTTAATGTTTTTATTTATGTTGCATATCAATTAATTTTTATTTTAATAAAAATGTATTTAATATTATTATATATTATTAAAATAAAATTTTCATATTGATTATAGTACTTATATTTCATTATTTTTAAAAAAATCTCCCTCCCTTTTATTATATTGATTTTTAATGATAATAATATCAATTTTTTATTCAACTTAATTCTTAATATTAAGTTTAAATATTTAATGATAATAAATTTTATTAAAAAATATTAATTATATATTTATATCTTTAATATAATAAACATTTAAAAAAAAATATTTTTAAATAATTAAATACAACCTTAAAAATTAAAATTAAAATTAATAAAATCTTAATCATATTTATATCTTTATCTAATATTTGTATCTATCTTTTAACTATATTTTTTTATCACTTCGCATTTTTTTATCAAATTTTTTATCTTCCTTATATTTCTAAAATAAAATGGAATATATGGTGAAAACGGTAGAAAAAGAAAATGAAAATTTTATTATGGGACCTGCGACCAAAGTTTTTTTTTTTCGTTCCTCACAATCAGTAAAGAAAACGGGTAAGAAAAAGGATATTGAACAAATAAAAAATCTATCCTTGTTATAATATGTAAAATGTTATTTAACATAATTATATATTTTTTATTTTTTCTTTATAACAATAAAAGAAAAAACATATTTTTCTTATTATTTTAATATACTCTCTATATCCAAACAAATCATACAAAGTTCGTCGGAATAATAGCATGCTTTTTTGAAGGGAAAAACCAAAAAAGGAAACGTGCATGCCTTTGTGAGTTGTCTCGTGATCTACGTTTCGAGAAGGCTATACATCGTGTATACAAAATATACATGCCACTTGTTTTTATTACAAAAATATATATTTATAGAAAAATAATTTCAAATAATTATAAAAATGTTTAAAGATTATCTGACAAGGCTTTAAACTTTACAATAATAACAATTTAAAAATAAAAATCTAAAGAACTTGTATATTTATTTATTTAAATTGATTAATAAAGACAAATAATTATGAATTTTATATAAATTCATGGAGGAGGGTGGGGAGGGGGGAAGAGTCAATGATCGCCCCGCTTGAATCCGTCACTTTCCTTCATAAATAAATAGTTTTGTATGAAAAGATAATCTGTCTTTCAAGATCATAAGCATATTTGGCTATGGCAGGTAGTGGTATATGCTATTTTTTAAAAGAGAGAGAGATCGACATCCCTTTATTTTTTAACATATCCATTCGGAATAAAATGATATTAATTTCTGGCTGAAATTTAACTTTAAAATAAAAGTAAACACTCTAATACAAATTTAAAATGAAAAATATTATTAACATATCATAAGAGCGTTAAAACAAAATCTTCACACTCTAATACCAACAAAAATATTTAAAATGAAACAGATGCACTTAAAAAGGAAGAAGATAAGATTCAATCTAAGTTACCTTTATAGAACACAGCAATAGAATGTTGATGGCAGAGTGACTTACCTGAAAGACTGAAACACGATTCTCCAATCTCCACCGCCTGAGATTTTTTTGCATAAGAACACAGAGCAAAAGTTAATAATGTCAAAATTAGGGAGAGCATACATACATTACGTATGCTTCCTCCCTCTGCGGATGCATCATACCGCCCCATCGCTAAATGGTCCCACACGGCACCGTTCCCTATGAACAATATCAATGATCCAACGACTCACATTAAAGTTGCATGAAAAACGAGTAATATCTTGTCCCCATCCTTTACCTACACTACTATGCACTTGTGGAACCCTTATTGTAGACCTGTTAATAATATTTATATTATTGTTATTATTATTATTCCCTATGGGAGATAACATCCCACCCACACACAATCCCTGCATTCTAATGGAGGATTCATGGGTGAATCGGCATCTTCATCTGGTAAAATTATCATAATTTTACAATCTGTTGTTCTTTGAGTATCGTATATACATGGCTCGGTTTAATTGTTTCATGATTTTTCAATTGATTGTTGTAGGAAATGGATTATGAGGATAATTGTTTCTTCCATGAGAGTCACGGCGACGAGTTCCTCAGAGACATCCTACAGCAAACGCCTTCAGCTTTCTCTTCCGAAAGTGAAAGCGATCACTCATTTCACGCCGTTCAAAACAATTCCATCCCCAACGTCGCCGTTGCCGCTTCAGACGGCGCCGCTTTGAGTCAGACTCAGAGGCATGGGAACTTAATCAAAAGCAACAGCTCCAACTCCTCAGACGGTTCCAATTCCAAACGACCTCGTCGTTTCTCTTCTCCAAAGACGTACATTCTGTCGTTCGACAACTCAACTATGGTACCGGCCACACCCGAACCCTGCCTCAATTATGACCAATTATTGGGCGGCGATGGCGTGGGAAGCCTCAGGCCTTCTAAACGAGCCCACGAGAGTCAAAGCCCGGAACCCAAAGCAAGGCCCAATCAAGGAGCTAAGAGGGCCCGAAGCTCTTCTCAGACTTTCGATCACATAATGGCAGAGAGACGAAGAAGACAGGAACTCACAGAGAGGTTCATAGCACTCTCGGCCACCATTCCAGGCTTGAACAAGGTAATTTACTCAATTCAATTTTTCTTGTTAAAATGTACATGGGACAAATCACTTTAATTATTAATATAGTAAATTCTAGTTTAATAATAGCATATGCTAAAAGGATCAATATTTTAAATTTAATAATTGTTCTAGGTGCTCATTGTTTGGTTCTTGCTCATTTTCACCGTCAATCCTACCTATTGTAGCATACACACACGTTTTATATTTTAGACACCTAATCTTACTTTTCATAAATCAAAAACCTAAAAGTTATTAATTTTCTTTTTAAAAAATGTATTATTTGAGGCTTGAATTCAACTTATGCATGGATCAGTATTGAAATCCTATAGTGCAATTTATTTTTTGGTTTTTTTTTTATATTCTTATCGATTAATGACCGTTCCATGTTACTTTTATTCTAATTACATAATTTTGACAATCATGAAAGGAAAAGTGATTTTGAATTTTTACTAGATCGATCATTATTTCAAAGTCATTGCAAATGGGTCACTGGCCAATCTATCTGCAATATTCTATGATATATACTCATTCCGTATGTATTATAAAATTAATTTATCCCTATATTGTTGGCATTAAGACTCGGTCATAAATCTGAATCCTGCAACAAAATTTTTGAAATATGTTTTTACTTACGTCCAATTTGTTTACCATTCTTGTCCTTTTATGGTAAAAAGAAGAAGAGATAAGAAAAAGACGAAAAAGATTATGTGATGAAAAGGCACGAAATTTGCAAAATATTTTGTATGATTAGATTCTGTCTGTGGAGTTTTCTATGTCCTATATGACTTTCTAGTACGCCACACAGCGAAAAACACGTAGAATTGTTGAAATCAGAAATTTACAAAAGAACTTGGACCCACTAGAGAGAATGGAATGGAATGGTTTGTAATTGTAAAATTTCTATGTATAGACGGACAAGGCTTCTGTACTTCGAGCAGCAATAGATTATGTGAAACAACTTCAAGAAAGGGTACAAGAACTAGAAAATCAAGACAAAAAGGGGGGTGTAGTAGAATCAGTGATATTGATGAAGAAACACGATCTGAATGGGAATGAAGACACCACCTCAAGTGATACCACCTCTGATAATTGTAGCATCCTTCCCGAGATGGAAGCAAGAGTGTTGGGAAATGAGGTTCTCATTGAGATCCACTGTGAGAAAGAAAATGGCATTGAACTCAAAATACTCGACCACCTTGAAAATCTTCATCTCATTGTCACCGGTAGCAGCGTCTTGCCATTTGGGAATTCCGCTCTTTGCATTACTATCATTGCTCAGGTAAATAAATATTGTTATTTATTATGTATTTTTTATCTTTGAATTGAATTGATATATAAACTACTTAATTTGAATAATGCAGATGGGTGACGAGTACAAAATGACAGTGGATGAACTAGTGAAAAACCTTAGAAAAGTGCTCTTGAAGTCACATGTGCTATGCGACAGTGATCCGTACTAGTGTATCAAACAAAGTTGTAGGTATGGAATTGGAAAGTTTTGAACTGTGGCCATCTTCGAATTTGGTTCCTTTATGTATTGATCGTAACATTAAATAAGCAAAGTGTATGTTCGAGATGAATTTATCCTCCGAATTTACTCTGATATCTTCTTTTTTTCCTATTTGAAAACGAAAATTCTTGTTACGACATTGTCAAATCACCATCCATGGCATGTGTTCCCAATTAATTATAGAGCATAAATTCGACCAGACATTATTTACACATTGGGGCCACCCAAAATATTAAATGGACCTGACGTTAAGTGCAACGATATCCCTGTCCCACGTTATTGCTTATTAAATCTTGTAGTTGATATAATTGCTGGATATAGATCTTATCCGATGCGACTATCTTAATCAAATGGTCGGGCCAATTTAGATTTTTTTTATATTCTTGTTTTGATTAGAAAATTTAATGACAAAGGTAAAGAAATTTTTATTTAAGTTTTATCAGATGAAGATGTAATTATTTCACATTAAAAATAATTATTGTTTTTATAAGAATACACATAAACACTAACTAAACAAGAGAATAATCGTAAATTTAAATTATATACAATAAACGACCATGATAAGGCAATACTCTTAACACTCACCCCCAAGAATCAACCAATCATGATATTTTGACAGTAGAGTCAGTGGACGCCATTGATGAGGATCAGAGGTGCTAGTTAATAAACAGAGTGAAATACCGTGAAAAGAGTTCAGATGAAGTTGTAATTATTTTTCATTAAGAGTAACGAATGATTTACAAAGATTGTATATATGGGCTGTACAAGAGAATTATCATAATTCATAGTATAACAACCAATACCATGATTGAGTGAATGCTCTGACGTGATACTTCAATAAGCTGGTATTTTTAACGAGATTGCATTATTATTTGCTCACTTAAATATATGTGAAAAGCTATATCCCACGTGTAGCATCCAATTTCTGGTGCCATGTTGCTCTATAGTTGAACTCAAACTATTTAGATGAATCATATTTAACGAGACATAATTAATAGATGAACGAATTAAGAAAACTTAGTATCCCACTTTATGAGAAATAATAATGAAAAGTGGGGAAAGCTTATGATTGTAAGGTAAAATGATCAAATTATTTTACTTTGAGAAACCTAGGTTGGGTTTGTGGATTCTTTTGCAAAGAATAAAAAACATGGGGAATGGAGCAGAAATTAAATATCATATAGCAACAAATTCGAGTGTGACGTATGACAAGGGAGAATACAAAGCTTTAACGACAACAAAATTGATCTGTTTGATCTTTGATAGAATGTTTATAGCTCAAATATCATAAATATTTTTTAATTCATAAAAGTGGAGAAACTAGTTGCAATCATGATCAAGAAAGATTAAAGGTGTGAATTAAGAACCACACTTTGCCTACCTCACAAAAGAAGAACCCAAATGAGTCATTCAAATACCCTTTTATCATTTTTACGTGCTCTATTCATGGTCAAGAAATTGGATCGATATGCACAAAGAAGAAAATGAATGGTGGAGAGCTACAAGTCTTTGGGAATAATATTTCAACTTAATTAATTAGTATATATATTATGTAGCGGAATGAGAAAGGATGGTCGACATAGGATTGAAATAACTTGTCTCCTTCCTATGGATTTTTTCAATTTTTTTTTCTTGGATTCCTTAGCATTCTTAAATAGGTATTGTTTCTCTCTGTGATGTACAAAAAGTGGGATAGTTAAAAAAAAGTGATTTAAACAAAATATAATTTAAAACACCATTAAAAATTCCATGCGTGTCCAAGAACATTAGTCAATGAAAGAAAAAGAAAAAAATTTGCCCTTAAGGACAAAACATGTTAAGGGAACCAGAAAGAAGTGGGGCTATAAGTTAACTCAGTTAGCATCTTCTTGTTTCAGCTTCCTACTTTTTAAATGGACACTTTGCTCTTTCCAATTATAGTCTATTAACTTTTTAAAAACAAGTATCAACAATTGTTACAGTAAATTTTTTTAAAAATAATTTTTAAATACTGATTTAATTTTGTTTATTGTGAGTTATTGAAAATTATTAAATTTATTCAATATATAGTTCTGTGAGTTATTGCAAATTCACAGACTATTGTTCGATACATAATTTTGTAAAATTTTAACTTTATATTATCTTTGCACTTCGCCCTATATAACCAAAGCTGCATTGAGGAGCGGTTATCAAAATAGGTCGAGAGCCACCAATATAAATATACAAGTTGTTTTACCCGTATGTTATATCTACTAGTTGTTTTATACTTTTAATTATTTTATTTTATAAATGAATATTCAATTTATACTACTTTAAATTTATTTTTTATTTAAAATATAGTAAAAGATTTTCCGACAGACAAGCGTTTTAAATATAAAAATAAATAATACATACACATATATTCGTAAACGAATCTTATCAAGTGTAATAATTGTATGAATTTTATTTTATTTTTTACTCTATCATAATATTTGGACAGATTTTAATTTTAGCTTTTATATATTCCTAACATATAAAACAAATCATGTAAAAATAAAAAAGTACAATTTAAGAGTTTAATATTAATGCATTATTAGGGTAAAAAATTTTACACTGTTAATCAATTAAGTTGCATTGTGATATAATTTGTATATTAATTATTATATAAAAAACAATTTTTGTAAATATGATAACTTATATATAATTTAATAATAGTGTACTATAGGTGTATTAAATTAAAGTTATTTTGTTAGGCTATGATAATCTGATATAAGAAAAGTAAATATTTAATTTTTACTATACGATTTTTTTATGATTTAAATTTAATCACGATCATATTTTAATAATTTTTAAGTTTGAATGGTTCTTTCAATAAATTATACATGTTACAGTCATCAAATTACACATCAACCAATTAATTCAACTAATTCAAAACTTTAATAATAATCTAAAACGGATATATTTTCTTATCTCTCCCCCAATTTATTTTCTTATTTATAATCAAAATTAAGGACTTCTGTGAATTGAGAAAAAGAATGATTTTTTCAAAGGTTTATTTTCTTTCTATATAAATATTATTATTTTTATAAAAATATTTGAAAGTAAATTATAATTAAAAAAATATATTTTCTCAAATCAAACAAGTCATTCATGAATCAATTAATATAAGAGTAAGATATCATAATAAAGCATAACAAATTCATCTGAAAAAGCACATCATATACAAATTCATCTCAAATCAAACAACTCTATTTTACTAATTATTTTTACAATATGTTTTATAACTTTTTTTTTCCTTATATCTCTCACTACATATGATGAGCAAATGGCTCTCCAAAACTTCCAAATCCTTTAATTTCGACTAGTGGACTATTCCTTTATTTTTTTTAATACCAAAATATGCATGCTATATTAATTATAAAGCATCAGCAGCCAGTACATCTAGGAGTATCCCAAGCTGTTCCTTATTATACAAATAACTTGGAAGACATTAAGTTTACCAAACTGGGCGCAACAAGCCTAGCTATCTGCTGGAGGATTTGCAACCCTTCAAATTGGAACTAGATGTTCATTGCTGAAACTGAGCAATCATCTATAGAATGCATTAAATTATAAGATAGTGCCATAATTCATGAAATTATATTTATAAGTCATTCTGTTCATCAAACAGTAGTAGACTCTCCGTCATGAATATATTCATGATTGTAACTTAATTCCAGAGCCAAAATCACACCCTCACGAAGAGCTAGAAGTACTTTCGGAATTTTCGTATTATCAAATACCTAGTTTCATAATTGATACTGTAGTACACTGATCATTGTTCTACTTCGGATGAGTGCAAGAGAGCCAATCTCAGGTTTTTCACTAGATCATTCATTGTTACGTTGAATTTGTCACCCATCTGCATTAATTGAAGTTATAATTAAGGGCTTATAGCAGTGGCACAACATGACAATGTTATCAAAATATATATATGTCTAATAACAATATCTACTTGGTAGATCACAATTGTTGCTGGTAATAGACATCAATTGGATCTTAATTTTTCCTTCAAAGATTTATGATATATCGTTGTGTGTACCTGAGCAATAATGCTGATGTCAAGAGTTGAAGTCCCAAATGGCATCGCGCTGTTGCTGATTGTGAACAGATCAAGATTACCAAGATGGGTCAAAATTTTGAGCAAAATGCCACTTTGCTTCTTGCAGTGAATCCGGAGGAGTACATCCTTTTGAAAGACTCTTGCTTCCACTGTGGGGAGTGTTTCATTGGTTCTGTAGCAGTCATCAGAGTTCATTGCACTTGAGGTGATGCCTTCTTCAGTTGCAATGTGGGATTTGTGATGAATGAATGACACTGACTCAACCTTTGTCTTTTTGCATTGTTCTTCTAGCTCTCTTACACGTTCTTTAAGTCGTTTCAGATGACTGATTGCTTCGCTAAGTATGGTGGCCTTGTCAATCTAGACTTCATAAAACATTTCAATCTTGGATTATAAATTGTTCATTGTGTAAGAAATTCAAAAGCTCGTAGTTGGTTTTTATCTTTTTTTTTTTGGCAAAATTATTTTCTTCCAAACTAATGAAATGTCCATTGTATTGATTATGCTCATAAAAATTAGTCTTACATATATAAAATCTCATGAAAACAAACAACTTGACATTCCACGTGTAATATCATTAATGTGATATAAAATGAAAAGAAGAAAACGTTTAAAGAAGAAATTGCATTAAATTAAATTCTTCTTTTACACACTTTTTTTCATTTAGCTTGTGACAACATGGATCGTCGACTGATCTGATGTAACTCAATTTTATACAAATGAATCCCGTTAATTAATTATATTACGACATATCAAACTAAAAGATGAATTGAACTAGAATAATTCATTAATTCTAGAAACCAAATTAAAGTTGAAAAGGAAAAACCATTGACCGACATCATGTTAAATGTGATTAATTATTCCACTGTAAACATGTGACATCATGAATTACTAACCTTCTTCAAGCCAGGTAGAGTGGCTGATAATGCAATGAACCTCTCTGTCAATTCTCGTCTCCTTTTTCGCTCTGTCATGATATGGTCTAGTGTCTCTGCAGAGCTTCTACCTCTCCTTATTGTTTTGTTGACCTTTGGTTCAACCTCATGTTTTTCTGAGACCCCTTTTGAGGCCTCCTCATGGTAGGGCTGTTTTCCACCGTAGGTTTCCCTGATGGCTGCTACTAAGATGGAGTCATCGAAAGACAAAATGTAAGAGTTTTGGGAAGTGGGTGTGACAGATTTTTCAGGTGCATGTTGTGTGAACATGAAGTTGGGGATGTTGTTGCTCTTGATCACAGGGTTGCTGCACTTGTTGTTGACTATGGTTGTGCAACCACTGCCACTGTGGATTGAGTTATTTTGATTCTTGGGAGAGTGAGTTTCACTGTCAGAAGAGAAAACTGGTTGATGCATGATCTCTTGAAAGATCTGATCTTCATCATCCAATGACTCGATCTTGTGGTGTTGATTAAAGAAATCATTATCATATATTTCCTATGGAACAAAATAATCAAATTCAATCACCAACATGTATATATACATAAAACTATATCATATATTAATTTGCTTATCATATATGATCTATGTCGAATATAAATATATAATTTGATGTTGTGTGTGTGTGTGTGGTTACCATGTCAGAGAACCAATATTTGTGGCATGGCTCCTCCATTGGCAGAGAAGAAAGAAACTACCGAGACTTTGTTGTGGATCCAATCTTAAGGATAGAGAAGAAAAATGATGGAAGATAAAAGGAAATGGGGATGGCAGAAAACAAAGACTCGTTGAACATGCAACTTTTATTTCCACCGTTCGATTTCAAGCGATTTCACGTATTGTGCTTATCATTTGGAAATCATTACAAGTTAGGACCAAGGACCACATGGGGGGGGACAGTGATGTTACCTTACCATCCTTCTTGCAGAATGTTAAAAGCTCATTTGTCTCTCACTTCTCACGATTGGGACAGTGGAGAATTAAACTATAAAAATAGAAGATATACATAAATTTGTGTTTACTAAATTTAATGATTAAATAAAAAATATTTTATAGTATGTGTAGACTACAAGGTAAGCAGATAAACACGAATCAAACAGACTAAAAATATTTCAAGCATGTATTCATAGATATTTTAATGTGTAAAATTTGATATATCATTTTATCATAGTATTTGTATATATTTTTTACTATATGTTGTATACAACATATGATTTTTGTAAACAAATTAAATAAAAAAGAATAAAGTATAATTTGAATGTATTGAAAATTAAAATAGGCTCAAATGATGTACAAAAATATTTTATATCAATATTTTAAATTTTACACATTCAGTCTCTTTCTCTTTGTCTCTATTTTCACTTCTAGCATAAATTTTGTTATAAATTATGTCAACAAACTAAATAAAAAATATATATAGTTTCTTTTAAATTTATTTCATCATGCTCGGATATATCTTTATTATATAAAAATATTGTATTTTTTTTTCATAAAATCATTTAAAATTTACATTCAAATTTAAAATATAGTTCTTATTTATTTAAAGAATAATAAGTTTTTACTTTATTTTATTTATTTTATTACCTATTTATTTGTCTCATGCACCCTCTTCTTATATATTTTGTTAAAATTTTACCTTTTAAAATTTTAATTTTTTATTACAAACTAATAAATGTTTTATAGCATGAAAAGACATAAAATAAAGAGTACAAATATTATAAGCATGAAAGATAATAAAATTATAAATAAAAAATAGTAATTAATAAATACTTATGAATATATATTTTATATTTCTATTGAAGATTAATATACTGATAAAATAAATTTTTTAAAATTTATTAAATTTAATGTACTTTCAGTTATCACCAAATCACCAAGCCCAATCAATCTATACAAAATTATTCCAACTTAACTAATAATTGAGTTTGAGTTTCTAAGTATATACATTAAATACTACTTGTAGCTTAGAAAAGTGATATTACAATATCATATTATGATTTTTATGAATAGTGATCGATAAGTATCCTAAAAGAACCATTACGACGTGGGAGTTTGAAGCTTAATATACCAATTAATTCACCTTCATAACCCATGAAATCATCTCTTTTTCGTTTGAAAGAATAAAATGGAAACCAAATATTAAGAGTATTTCGAAGTCTGATGATAAAGTATATATGACAGACTACGGCTGATATGGGCCAAATTTCGCGGAAACCAAACAAAGCAATCAAAGTGCTATCAATTACAAGCCCTTTGGAAATGCAAAATGATTCCTCTGCATCGTATGTTGGAGAAAAGAAGACATTGACAGTCAAAATGAAAAAGCAATTCCCATTCGATTTTGTGTTGCAATTTGCATGTTTTGTGAAATCATCGACACAAACTGTCAATTCAGCATTGCAAGAGCTTCATCCGTGCTTGTAAAAGTGCCCATGGGTTTTCCCATTTCTTGTCCAACTCGAATTGTATGTATACATAACGATGTTGTTGAAGCATAACAAGAAAAACTCAAACTTTGTGGCGCCCTCCATTACTGTTCCCAAAGGGCATTACACAATTCATACCTATCCAATGAAAAAGTTATGAAAGCATCGAAAATTTGTCGTCTTCTTACGCTGGAGAAGGTATGTCGAGTCCTTTTCACCATTGCATTTGTCTTCTACGGAGCTTCGTGGTATCAAAGCATGGATTCTTGTAAATACTTTGTCTTTTGATGTTTCTGGAACAAAAAAAGTATTCTTGTACTGTGTATTTAATATGCATCATGAAATAAATAATTTTATAACAGTTAATAAAAATATACTAACTAAAAAATGATTAAACCAAAACAAATATCCCTTGACTTTATATGTAAATAAAATTACATGGATACGAAAATTGAGAACTTATCCTTTTGTTTATTGTTTATTGGTTATTGGTTATTGGTCAATGGGGAAGGGAGCAGGTGCAGAAGAAAGGGGAAGTGGGATTCTGTAGATCAATAGGGTTTCCAACCCTGTTCTTGTAGATTATATACTGTTAGTTTCACCACTTGATCTATTTTAGAATGTATTTGAGTTTGAATGGATTAACTTATATACAATTAATTTTATTAAAAAGTGAGTTTAAAGTGATGTGATTTATATTTAAATATTTTTAAAGTATATAATTTTTCGGAAAAATTAAACATAAAATTTTTAATTTAATACGAAAATTATAATTTATCACATTAGTCTAGAAGTGAGTTTAAAGGCAAAAATCAATTTTAATAAAGAGTGTCTGAATATTAACTATTTTTATAAAATTATATTGCACTGAAATAAACATAATTCTGTGACATTTCAATATAGATATAAATATGCACTTAATTACAAGTTCAGAACAAATCTAAGTTCGAAATTTTAATTCGTACGATTTTGTTAAGAGTATTTTTTTTTTCAATAAGAGTTTTGGGTTCTGAATTGTATGAATGAAGTTTTGGTTTCGGGCCTTTATAAAGAAGGGGCTAAAAATGGGAACCCAAACAAATGGGTTTGGGCTCCAGTTTGGAGCAACAAAACGAGTCTACTATTTTAGGCCTTTATACCAGAAGAAAAGTTTTTGGGTGTGGTAGATATCAATAATATATTATATTCTCTTTTTTTCTTCCTCATAAATTTTGCAATCTTAGTTGAAAAGGTTATGTAAAACTCAATAAACCCAATTACTAACCACATCTACGTGCCATTCCCTTCTTTCTTTCCTCTCCCATCCCCCTATGTTTAACACTGATTATTCAACTAAATAAGACCCGTTCTCCTTTGGTTCTTGCCTTAGGAGAACCAAAGGAAACAGAAATTGTTTTCTAGCATGTTGTTTTATATATATATATATATAATCCAACTCTCAAAATAATTTTAGAAAATATCGATACACTCTTAAAAAACAGATTTGGGTATATATGATAAGGGCGTCATCCAACACTTTCGAAACCAATTCTAATAACTGCAAAGTTAATTTTCAAAATTAATTTCTCAGAAAGCAATTGGTAAAGAGGGCATTCTTTTATTTTTCTTCTTTCTTTATTTATTTTTTCCTGGATAAATAAAGAGGGCATTATTTTGTGTATGTGCGAAATGCGTGAGATTATTGAGATCCTTTCCTTTGACCACCAATCATCTTTGCCTTTGGAAGTACTCAACTCTCCTCAATCCCACATGTCTCTTGGTATGCTTCTCAATGCCATTTTAATGAAAAGGAAACGTGGATATGGAAGAATATTCAAAAGCAGCACCAAAAATTGACCCAAAAGAGAACACACAAAAAGGTTGCATTATTTAGGCAAAGACTCAGTTCCCACAAAGCCATGAAACTTGCAATGAAGAGGTAGAAGCTTACACAAATTTGCATAGCACTAAAGTACGAAAATGATAAAGATATCATTGAAACACACTTTCTTTGTCTCTTATTCTTGGGATTTTCTAAGTTTACTTTCTCTCTCTTTCTTTTGCAAAATCCAAAGGCAAAGAGGAAGACCTAGCTACTCGCCACTCCATGCAAGCAAGGCCAAATCTCTTGGTCCAAAGAATGAGAACAGTGCAAAACACAAAAAACTTCGCGTGCATGCTTCACCCTCTACTTCTCTACTCTCTTAGGAAAACCCACCTTCTCTTTCTCCAATTGCGCTCGCACACTCACCCATGCTTCACTGTGCTTGTGGAGTATTGACCGACATTCTTTGTAATTCACAGAGAATGTTTACTCAAAGAATATTGTCACGTAAATTAATCATTTATTTATGAAATTAACATATAAGTCGTAGTTGCACACTATTTCGCTGATTTTTTAATATTTGGTATAGAAATATCTTATGATCAATTAATATTCTCGTTTATTCCATTGTTGTTATCTTACGTGTCATTTATCAAAGTAAGTATCATATACGAAAAAATGGGTACATAACCCAATTGTTACACTACACTAGCAAAGGGGCTACCTTGGAAAATGTGAAAACCTATGTGTTTGTGCGTGCGTGAGACTGAGAGAGTTGAGTTGTGTTGATTCTTTTGCATAGAACCTTGAGAAAGGCACATTTTTAAAGAGATTGACTTTGGATTCAAGTTTCAACTCCGGACAAATGAAGACGAGGGAGATAGTCTACCCGATTATGAAGATAAAAATTCTTTGATAATAATCTTATACACATTCTATTTTGATAAAATTTCACATAAATAATATAGAATTATAATTTATATTAAATTATAACCAAGGTAAAAGTAAATGTCAATTACGTAATGTTCGAATCTGAAGCTTATACGAGAGTGAAATTATCTTTGAGCTAGCGAGAATACGTTGTTTTGCACGCTTTTTGTTTACGATTTGATAACTCGAATTTCAAGTTTACGCACGTGAAGTTGAAAGAACATTGATTAATATTTGTCTAAATAAAAAGTAGGGAAAAAATGCTTAACATTTCTCTATCCAAATCCTTTAACTCGAACTAATACAAATTAATACATATCTTAAACATTAACTGATTGCTCTTCCAGTAACTATAATAAGTATTTACTAACCAATATGACAGTTTAAAGACAAACTATTAAGGTTGAATTTGAATAAATTTTTTAATAAGTATTTATAAAAATAAAAGTAATAAATTAAATTTTTTATAAGTTAAAAATAATTTATACTTTCCTATTTAATTTTTTTTAATTTTTTAAATTAGAAAATTTAATTAATTAATTGTTAAAATGTTTGTTTTTACATTAATTTTTTCTATAAATAGTTCTTCAAAAACTTACACAAACTGAATTTAAGTCTCATAACACAAGCATGAATGTTATATTAGAATAAATTTTCCCCAGCTTCATGATCGTACTCACATCCAATTACACTTGAGATATGTACCTGACATGCAAATTTATAACGTACAGATGTGTAAATGTAACACTAAGAACTGACGACCAAATATAATCTAATGATTCATAATAAACTAAGTTTATAGATGCGGGGTAATATACGTATAAATATACGTGAATGATATTACATTATACTTAATATTAGTGTAAAGAAAATGCTATGTATGTTAGTTATACGTTATACAGGTTTATTACTTTATGCAAAAAGTAGTATTTCAATCGAAAATATTCTCTGTATTTTAACCATAATTATTTTAAATATAAAACAGGTTATCTTAAATGCATGCAATAATCATGCATAAAATTATGTTACTGTGATCTAATTAACATTATGTAAAACGTATTTCCCGAGAGAGAAAAAAACAAAAGGACAGCATGAATGCATGATGAACTTTTTATAACTATGTGGTTGGCTGGTTGCACATTGCTTACCCATTTATCCAAACCATTTAAATCAAGGATAATTTTTTTCCCATTTAAGTTTGAAATGAGTAAATAAATAATATATATATATATATATATATATATATGTATGTATAATGATCCATAGCATGACAAATATCTAAAAAGAAATAAAGATGTAAAAGAAATGGATGAAGTAAAATTTAGAACTCGAATTTTTTCAATAAATTATGCTATGCAGATCAGAGAAAAAGGAAAGAAAAATAAATACAAACCTGATATAAAAATTAAATAGAAATTTTGTGATGTTAGAAATTAGAACATCATATATGTCAGCTGCAGCAAGCTCATCAATGGTATTCTGAACCCGAAAGTCCAAATCAAATCTTGCTGCATTAATTGGTAAGCATTGCATCGGGTTCTCTCCTATCTAATCCATCAGCTTTGCATAATTGTTTCTTGACCTCAGAAAGACATCGATCCTGACATCATGCATGAATCATCATGCAATCTGATTATCAGATCTTCCTTTGCATCGAGTGTTTTGTGACCATGCAGTCTTTCAACTTTTTTTGTGTAAAGTGATTATATTAAGGGTGGGTTTATTTTATAATTCAGGATAATTGGGTTTAATATATAAAAATCATTTAAAATGAGCATTTTAACTAATTTTAATAAAAATTTCATATTGATATATGTTTTTATTTTAAAAAGTATAAAAAATTTAATAGCAAACCAAACAGAAACTAATACATGCAATAATCATAATTCTTTATCTTTTATTCTTGTTAATTGTTTTTTAAAAAAAGAAGTAAAATTACAACCCTTGAGCTGGAAGCTTGTAACATAGTTACAGTATATAATAATATTAATTTAATTGAATATTTTACATTAATTTAATTTAACTATATAATAATATTAAAGCTTAAATATAATTTTTATTTTAATCTTTACATTTTTACAACTTTTCGATTATAATTTTTTTATTAACTTGATCTCACAAAAATTAATATCTGATAATTTTTTAATCAGTTACTTTGTTGTCTTTTAACAGTTACCACTTGACTTTTTACAAAAAAATATAAACACTAAAATAAAAAAATAGTTAAGCCTAATATTAATTAATAAAAATCTAAAAAAATAGTTTATTACTTTGTCACTTTACAGATAAATTCATTAAGAAAAATTCCAAAATTTGGGAGTAATACATTTCTCTTTTATTTTGTAATGGAATTATGAGAAACTTTGAATGAAACTATTAAGAAATTGTGGAAAGTGAAAAGTTTGAACTTATAATCCCCAAGTTATTTGCATGTACCTGGGCGATGGCCGATCAAAAAGAAAAAGATTTGTACAATCAATCATATATTACAATTGCAGTCAAACAATCTTTTCCTTGACGACACCCTGACGCTCTCCTCATCTCATCAGATCAGATTTTATACATAAAACTCATTCACTATCCCTTCTTTTCTCCCTCTCCCATCTCATTACCCTTCAACCCAAACACAGGGACGTAAATCATTATCAAATTTGTTTTTTCTTCTTCTACCTTTTACGTCAATTCTGCTTTATATCCTTAATCAATTCAGTACAAAATAAATATTAAAAAAATTGTAGAGAAAAAATGACAAATGAACTGGACTATAATGTTTCATAAATTAATAAAAAATAAAATCACATATTAATTAAAATAGAAGAGCAAAGAGAGTAGACCTATTCTTTATAAAAGGAAATCCACGTTCAAGAATGCAATTACTAATCACTGCCATGCACCAAAACTTTCTCGTTTCCTTCTCTCATGGTGTTATACTTATTCAACTCTTTCTATCATATTATTTATTTATATTTTTAAAAGCAATTAACCTTAACTAGATTATATATAAATATTATTTTAACATGGGTATTGGGAACCCTACGGGGTGCATAATTTAATACCCTCTGAAAGGTGTATCCCTACAGGGTAGAGGCAGCCTAGGAAAGACAAACATGTAAATACGAGGGATTACAGTCTTATCAAAATTGACAGCAATATCTACATTTCTCTGAAAATATAAAAATAAATATCAAATTATTTCATTTGATCAATTTTCTTGAATCAAGCCGATATAAATAGTGGTTGCACTTTCCAAATGCCTCGCCACAATCACCATCCATCATCACCATGAACGGCGAATTCTTCTTGCACGCGCCATTAACAACCACTTATTCGCTTGTTCATCACGCATCATCCCAATCGCACTTCCCATTTCAACAGCCTCACGACGCAAGAACTAGCGAAAGGACGCTCGAAGGAATCGCCGCGGTCGTCGGAGAACACGTTCTGTTCGGGCCAAAATCGACGCCGCGTTCTGGTTTCGTTTCAGAGCGTGGCGCGCCGAAGAAGAAAACAGAGAAAACCTGTGGCGCGTCGGCGAACAAGAGCTACAGAGGAGTGAGGAAGAGGCCGTGGGGAAGGTGGTCGGCGGAGATACGCGACCGCATCGGTCGGTGCCGCCACTGGCTTGGGACGTTCGACACTGCGGAGGAAGCGGCGCGTGCGTACGACGCGGCTGCAAGGCGCTTGAGAGGTTCGAAGGCTCGGACTAACTTCAATATACCCTCAGTGTTGCCGTTAACAACGTCTTCGGAAGCGAATGGGGTGAGTGGTGGTTCGGTGAAGCCGAAAACCGCACGCAACAGCGCTCGGAAGTGTTCCTCTGTGGAACAATTGTTCAGTGAGGTTCCCCAAGTTCGTAGAGAACGAGAGTGTGAAGTGAACGACAGTGTAGAGGTTGAGTTGAAGCTGGGTGTGAACTTCAGTGTTACAAGCACTAGAATGGTGATGTAGGTTTCTTAAAATTAATATTAATAATAGTGTATCAACATGTTTCTTAGGTGGCTCTTCCTTTGTTTCGTTTTGCTTGTGGTTTTTTGAGGTTGTAGTGGTTAATTTGGGTGTCAATGAATGTTCATAAACCTGGAATATAGTTTTGTACTTGAATGAGTGAAATGAGTGAAGAGCTTTGTTTATTAAGGAATGTGTATGTTGGCTTTATTATTGACATGCAAACGCAATCTTTGAGTATCATTATGGAAACTGATTGTTGTTTTGAAGCGCTCTAATTTAACCAATTTTGGTTCATTGGTGTAACATTAGCTTAGGTGAAAGTATAAGCCATGCTAATTTTTTATCGCTGTGAATCTATGACTTATTTGATCATGCTTATATGTTCATATATATCGTAATTGTATGGTAGATATTGTGATAGAGATGTAAAGAAGTGGCATTGGTATTTTGTGGCATAAAAAGTGTACAACTGAGAGATGTATTCGAGGACTTGCATTCGGTAGTGGCAGTTGCAGTTGGAAGGAAACTTCTTGTGGTCAGATAATAAGCAGTGATGAAATAAAAAAATATGGTGCCAGGCCTCTTCCAACACAACTTAGTACACCCAATTCTTTTATTATTCTTTTAGGATACGATTGAAAATTGGATTTTGATGACGATGATAGATGAGGGTCATTTTTTTTTTAATATAGGTTTTTTTTAAGAAATTATCAAATATGGCATCTTTTACAAAATGACGAAAATATGGTGAATGGATAAAAATGTTAAAGGGAAATTTTAATTGTCAGTGAGCTATAGAGTTCGTTATAATATAAAAACGTCAATCACAATTTTGAATAAAAAAATAAAATTTTGTGAAAGTAAAATTGTTAATTTTAAAAGTTAGAAAAATATGAAAGATTGGTTAAAATCGTTAATGTTGATTTTTGACCGTCAGAAAGAGCTTTGACTTTTTTAAAAATATCAACGATAATCTTTAACTAATCACATATATTAGAGAATTTTATAAAATATTAAATAACGTTATAAAATGTCATTAACGATTTTAGATTGATGAAATTATAAATATTATAATATGTCTTCAGAATGAGTCGTTCTTAAAGGTAAAAGTGTAAATCAAAAAGAAAAATGAGTGTAGTTGTTGTAGTTTATTTCAATAGTGAGATTATATTGAAGGTGTGACATTTGTACGTGAGAAATCAACATTGTGAATATTCCATATAATATATCATTTGAAGATTTAAAGTATTGGCTTTATTAATATGTTCATGAAGTTAAGTTTTCAAAAATAGTATAAAATGTTATGTATCGATGTCCAGTATCAATATTTGGAAATTTTATTCAATATTATACAATTCAAATAACTAACGATGAAGGTGTTCAACAAATGTTTCAGATACATCAGTCATGTCTTCCTCCAAGTGGTATGACTGAGTTTTATGTTATTTTCAAAAGTATAGAAGTTGAAGCAGAATTTTTGAGCACAATGGTAGAGATAGAGATAGAATGGGAACTTAATAACAGCGAAAGTGATGAGTACGAATTTGAAGAAGAATATAGAAGTGGTGAAGACAGCAATAAGGATCTTGACAATGATATTGATGAAGAGGAGTCCCATATGGGTGGGCAACATCCTTTTGGAGAGCCACCTTTCATGTGTGAATGAGATCTTAATGCTATGCATGCTACTGAGTTTTCAGAGTATGCAAATTTAGGTATGTGATATTTGAAATTATGTTAGTGTGATTAATTATATTTCTGTTAATTAGTTTATGTTTGCTATTGGTAGGTAACATAAAGATAAATGGTGAATTGTATATTGGAAAGCAATTCAGTGACAAAGAAGTTGTTATAAGAGCCGTAAAGTATTATAATATATCAAAAGGAGCAGACTACAAAGTGTTCAAGTCGGAATCAAATACATTTTATTGTAAATGTGTAAAGTATGACTTAGATTGTAGGTGACTTCTCCGATGTAGTTTCAGGAAGAACGAGTATTTTTGGAGAATCTGAAAATACAACGGTCCACACACCTGTACTGTTGGAATCATTTCTCAAGATCACAGAAAATTGGATACAGACATAGTTGCAGAATGTATAAAGCCAATGTAATCCTTCTTTTAAAATAAAGTAGTAATTGGGGAAATTCAGTCTCGCTTTGGGTACACAATAAATTATCGAAAAGCGTGGTTGGTAAAACAAAAGACAATTGAAAATGCATTCGGTAAGTGGGAAGCCTCATTTGAAGCTTTGTCGCAATGATGCATAGCAATGTGTGATGCTGATAAAGGTTCTGTTGTAAAATTAGATGTTGTACAGGCTTATCGTAATGATGAATTAGTTCTTAATGTTCAAATATTTCAACGAGTGTTTTGAACTTTTGGTCCTTGCATTAGAGCATTTCGCCATTGCAAGCCACTTATGCAGGTTGATGGGACATATTTATATGAAAAATACAAGGGAGTTCTACTAGTTGCTGTTGCACAAGATGAAAATTAGAATATACTGCCGATTGTGTTCGCTGTTGTTGAGGGTGAGACAACATATGCTTGGAGTTTTTTCTTAGAAAATTTATGAAAATATATCATTACTAAAGATGGCGTTGGGTTGATTTCTGATCGTCACGAGTCAATTATAGCAGCAATCAGAAGAAGTAATGGTCAGTGGGAACCTCCAAGAGCATTTCACATGTATTGTATCAAGCACATTGCTGCAAATTTCTTGTGTAGATTCAAGGCTCCTAACTTGCATAAACTTGTTGTTCAGATGGGTAATAAACTTGATTTTTGTATTTAAAATAATGCTATTAATATATTACTAGATGACCTTTTTTATGCTAATGAAATTTGACTTTCTTATTTACAAGTTACTTAAGAAATAAGCATGAATTTAATATTTATTATCAACGAATACAGGAGCGTGGACAAGTTTATGAAGATTGGCTTAGTGAAATACCAAGAAAAAAGTGAGTTTTAGCATTTGATGGCGAACATCGATGGAGTCATATGACGACGAATCTCGTTGAATGTATTAATTCTGTTTTAAAAGGTACCCGTAATTTTCCTATCACAACACTTATAAGAGCCACTTACTTCTGACTAGCACAATTATTTGCACATAAGGGAAGCGAGGCATATACACGGAAGAATGCTAGACATTTGTTCTCAAAAAATATTACAAGTCATCTTCAATCAAACGAGCATGGCTCAAGAAACCTTCGTGTCACGCAGTTTGACAGACGCAATGAGGCTTTTCATGTTCAGGATTTATCCAACAACGAAGAATATCGAGTTCATCTGAGACAAAGTTATTGTGACTGTGGAAACTTACAAACTGATCGATATCCATGTCGCCACGTAATTGTTGCTTGTTGTAGTCAAAATATTGATTGGCGTGTTTATGTGAATGAAGTCTATACCATCAATCAAGTATACAAAGTTTACAAAAAAGAATTTGGAGTTGTAGGGAATGAATCAAAGTGGCGCAAATACTGAGGTTCCAACCTTTGTCCTAACCCCGCCTTAAAGTGTACTTTGAAAGGATGTCCCAAATCAACTCGTTTTGTTAATGAAATTGGTACGAGACAAATGAGGCAAGCACCACGTTGTACTCTATCTCGAGGCGAAAACCATAGTTGTACCCGTTGTCCTAATGTTGCTGGCCCTAGTTCATAAAGATTAATAGTGATGCTTTCTTGCGTGTTTATGTTGTTGTTATTGATTAACATCCATGTTGTAGTCTTTTATATTCTGTTATGAAATTGGTGTGTTGTACTTTGATAACAATAAACGATTGTGTTAATTTGCTCTAATCTTTGTCAATTATCTTTAAATGTAATCAAATTTTGAAATTTAATCAAAAGTTTAGAAATTTAATCTAAAACATCGTTGATTTTCAATTTCACAAACTACAACTCATAAGTTCATAAACCTTAATGACAAGTACAAAAACAACTACGACACAAATTACAGAAACCATCATGACAAGTACTAAAACAAATACAGAAATTACTATCATCATTTCTCTTTTTTCTTCTTTATTAATGAAAGACTAAATCTATCAGGAGGATGTGTAAACGGACGTAATATGCGAGAAAGGAATTCCCTTTGTCTTTCAGGTTGAGCTACATCCTCTACACCACGTTGAGTGTCTATGTCCTCATATGTTGCATCCATATCTGGTATAGGATCTAGCTGTAGGACATTTTGTGATGGGTGGGTGTCTGAATATTCTTGAGGAGTGAAATCCCACAAGCTAATTGGCATAAACCATTGCACAGGTAGAGCATCATACACTGGTTCTGGTCAATTGATCAATTGGATTTTTACAACCTTATTTCCTCTCATTCTTAGCTCATTAATCCTCTTTTGTGCCTAAATTAGTTTGAATTGAATTATTTTATGATGTTTGAATTTTATTTGGGTTTTATTTAATTTTTTCAGTATTTGGCAAATTCTAATACTGTTTTGGTTTCTGGACCATATCTTGAGTTGTAGAACTCATTTCATTGTGATTCTTGATTTGTAGGAAAGCTAAGAGAAAGACGCACAATTCCTATGAGAGGTTGAAACTAATTCTGATGATAAGAAGCTGAAATTAGGCCTGGAAAAAGTTGGAACGCTACACTCGTAGTTTCTAACCTTGGTGCAGTATTTGGGCCATATCACCAAAAATACCACCAAAGATCTTCGTGAATTCATCATGGATACTGAGCAGCAATTACAAGCATAACTTTCCCTCAAGAATTCGAATTTGAACAAATAAGAATTCCAAATACAGCTATTGAGTAAAGGATTAATGTAATTGAATAATTATTAATTAGGTTTTATGTTTTAACCCTTAAGATCCTGTATTTAAATTAGGACAGCAGGCTGTAAAAGGGTTGGTTGGGACGTTAGGTTAGATTAGGTTTATGTTTTAGGGTTTTCATTTTTCTTCTTTGTCTTTTCTATTTTTACCTTTCATTTTCCTCCATTAATAGAGGCTTAGACTTCCTCCTA